AGGAAGTCGCAGACCCAATGCCTGGCACTCTGGGTAAGGCTGGGAAAGACTCCTAGTTGAAACCCTGGAGAGCTTGAGGTGCCAACGAAGCCATTTTAATAAAAGTTTATTGAACTGATGGAGAATGCAAAACTGGCAAAGCTAGCAGAAAGGAAAAAAAAATAGAGATCAAAATGATGAACCATTCTTTGAGGATTGGAAACCTTTTGAAGAATATCTAAAGAACTACTATAATTGCATGAAATCGCGAGCAGGATTTGAAGTACAGTGGTACCTCTTGGATGCAAACGGGATCCGTTCAGGAGCCCCGTTCACATCCAGAAGCGAACGCAACCCACGTCCGTGCATGTACACGGGTCGTGATTTGCCCTTCTGCACATGTGCGTGACGTCATTTTGACCGTCTGCGCATGCATGCGAGCGGCAAAACCCGGAAGTAACACGCTCCTTACTTCCGGGTCACCTGCAGCACGGAACCCGAAAAGACCGTATTTTTCGCCCCATAGGACGCACTTTTTCCCCTACAAAATGAAGGGGAAATGTCGTGTGCGTCCTATGGGGGCGAGTGCAGGCTTTCGCTTGAAGCTGGAGAGCGAGAGGGTTGGTGCGCACCGACCCCTCTCGCTCTCCAGGCTTCGCGCAGATCTCCGCAAGCCGTGGGAGCCCGCCCTGGGCTCCTGCGGCTTGTTGGAGAGTTGCCTGCATGCCAAAGCCTGGGCGCGCTGAGACGTATACAGGCGCGCGCCCAGATCTATCGGCAGCTCTCTGCAAGGTGGCGGAGCCCAGCGCTGGGCTCCCGCGGCTTGCGGAGAGTTGGCCTGTTTCTGGGGGCTGGAGGGTTGGGGGTAGGCTTGGGCTTCTCCCCCACCCCAGCCCGCAGCGCCCCTGGGGGGGAAAAAATGAAAAATTTCCCCCCCTTGATTTCCCCCCAAAAAAACTAGGTGACGCCTTATGGGAGGTGCGTCCTATTAGGGCGGAAAAAAATACGGTACTTATCCCGAAGCTACTTCAACCCGAGGTATGACTGTATGAGCAAACAGTAGAAAAGACATTAAAGCTAATAATTATAGGATGTGTATAGGAGTGTTTATCAGTTAAAATATGCAGCATTAAAGGATAAGCATAAAAACATCATGGAGGGTGGGATGGGAAGTCGGAATGGATAAATTAAACGTATTGTTGATTGGTAAAGTATGTAAACTTTTGAAAACTATTTTTGTTTTTTTAAAGAAAGAAAGAAAAAGAAACCCCAAAGAGCTGCTTTCCCAGTACTCAACTCGATGGGCCTGTGGTCTTACCTGGTTCTAAGGCCAGCTTCCTGGGTTCTCTCTTACATGACATTCTTGAAGGATCAAGGTTTCCAATGCCATCTGCCTCCGTGGGGATTTTGTTGCTTCCCAAAGGTTCAGTCCTCCTTTCGCCCAGGGCTCTCCTGCATTTAAAAACCTGGCCCCTTGCCTCTTAAAACTCGCCACTCCCCGCGCAGTACACTGTGACAGTGTTTGAGCACATGAGAGGCATGTCGCCTTTGGGAGCTACCAGGTGCCTCAGCATTGGGGAGGGGAGGGGGGCTGTGTGTGCCGTTGAAAAACAAAAAAGCGCGGGGGGGGGGATAATAAAGTTCTTGTGCGATGTCTGCTTTAAATATGGAGATGCCGTAGGCAAACTAGCCCATGTGTGCCGAACCATAAATTCCAGAGAGGTATTTTGCGATAGTTTTTATAAAGCTTTTAATGGGAATTCCTGAAAAAAAAATGCCATTAGGATTCCATCACACCAGAAGGTTCCAACATGCTTGCTGCGTTAAATGAGCCTTCCTTTTCCATTTGACCTTGGGAACGCGGCGCATAGTAAGGCTACTTTGTATAATCCCATTATTTGAAATTGGCTTGCTTGTTTCTAACATAGCGAGGGGAGAGGGGCAGCTATTGAAACAACTGCAGTCTTATACTTTATTACTCGAAGGCTAAGGAAGTAGCTGCCACGGCGCACTCAGACTTGACCGCGCTAATGAGCGCATGTTCTGGGGCTGCCTCTTTAAGACTTGGTTCCCAGTGTGGCGTTGGATAAAGTCAGGTACCCCTGTGCTTCAATAGCCCATGGCAACAGAACACGCTTCACTGAAATGAGAATCAAGTGGAAGATTTTAAAGTAAGGACCAGTCCAGAAGATTTAGACTGAGAGAATAGACTTCTGCCTTCCTATATAAATATTATATTGGAGAACAATGGCTATATCTAAAAATCAGCTCCGGTCTCTTAATACATCACTCTCTAATAGTAGTGATGCAACATGAACAATGGCTCCATTCTTCTGGGGACTATAAAGTCCTTTCCACTTTAACCTTTGTGTGGTACGTCTACAAGGCTGTTTCCAGATGGGCTCCCCATCCCTCTCCTCTCCCAGTCCATGCTTTGCTTTTTTGCTATATAAGCAGAATTGCTATTGACTTTCCACACTACTGGGGATACTGTGCTTTTTATGTGTGCACATCCTGTTATATTCTGTCCACACCACAGGGCGTGATGTGACCATGCGGTTGGGTAAAGGATGAAGTACAATTAACACGAGCAGCTATTTAAAGAGGGTGGGGCTTTTTCTGATACGTTTTAAAATCAAATTACATACTTTGTGCATGGCACTTATTTCAGCGTGATAGCTTTAATAGGTTTGCAAAAAAAATCGTTTTAAAATAAAGTGAACATGTTTTAATTGGTGGTGCAGGGAAGGTTACTAAAATTGGCACTTACAGTGGTACCTCAGGTTACATACACTTCAGGTTACAGACTCCGCTAACCCATAAATATTACCTCAGGTTAAGAACTTTGCTTCAGGATGAGAACAGAATTTGTGCTTCAGCGGCAGCAGCAGGAGGCCCCATTAGCTAAAGTGGTGCTTCAGGTTAAGAACAGTTTCAGGTTAAGACCGGACCTCTGGAACGAATTAAGTACTTAACCCGGGATACCACTGTACTGGAGGCACATTAAAGAATTTCAAAAAAGTTTTTGTTAGTCAGTTGATCATTATTTTGTATCTATTTTAATATTTTGGTGCCAATTAAGTTGGATTAGAGTAAATGGGATGTCAAAACCATGCTGGTGTGAATGGTGATAGTGAGCATGTGCTGAGTACCCATAGGTTTGTTACTGTGCACATCAAAACTGTGTCTCTAGTAAAAGATGGAAGAGTTGCGCCAAGAACCACCTGCTCCTTTCAGAGATTATACTATTGATCTCTTCTTCTTCTTTTTTTTAAAAAAGGGGTTTTCTGTTGTTTGAGGAAAGCACAGGGGGAAAATATGGGCTGATGATGATTGGAAAATGGTGTCACACAGATGTCCCATGAAAAAGTGAGTGAATAATATTCCTTTAATACGTAACAGACAGGTAAGGAATACTTTAGTGTAGGTGGGGAGGGGACACTTCGGTTTGCCTCTTCGGTACAAATTTGCCTAGATGTATTATTCGCCCCGAAGTATAGCTTCCAAAAAGATGTAGTTGCTTAGAAGTCTACATAAGACTTACATAATGAGAGTTTTGATACATGGAGCCATGGGCATAGCCAGGATTTTTGTTAGGGACCTCCCCCAAAAAGGTA